TGCTATTCCATCGATTAAAATTTTGCGAGCCTAAACTTCAAGTTTAATAAATATTTTTATTATAATTTTTATTTTAAAAATAACCAATCTTGTAATCTATGTTAGTATGTAAGTAGTATATTAATTTTGCAAATAAGCTTTTTATAATTTATTAAAAAATATGTAACACAAATTGAAGGTGAAATTTTTAAGCATTAATAGGTTTTACCATGTAAAATATAGCTAATAAAATATATTCTCACATTTTAATTTTTTATTTTTTGAAATTATTTGCAAGTCGGTATTAGATTCAATTTCATTGTTTAATTTCTATTTATTAATCGCTAAAGTCTGTAATCAATTCACTAATATCATTTAATTGACTTTTATTCAATTGTATTAAGAATTCTATTTCAGAAGAAGTTATAAATTTAAATGACAGTGTTTGATTAGAAAATCAAAGAGTTCTTGATCTTGATCTTGATTCAATCTGATGGTACCACAAATTTCCCAAAAAAACAAATAGATGTAAGCTACAATAACATTAACAGTGGTACTACTCATACAGACAGTGAAGAACTAATGCATACACCTTTAAAAATGAATAAAAATTTACGACAAGATACACAATTATTGCAAATACTTTTGAAAATAAACAATGTTCTCCCAATTGAAACAATTGAAAATAATAAAAATGAAGACAATATAAAATCATACACCATTCCAACTTCTCTGCAGAAAGAGAATGAGGTAAGCGCCAACGCGCTTCTTCCTCTCTCACTCTATGTAACTTTCAAGCCTGAAAAGCTCTTGAGATCGACTACAAAAAGATGTAATAAAAAATAGGAGTTTCCATTTGAAAATTTCAAAGTAATTTTTACGTGATCTTAACAGCGCTAACCAAGGTCACACTGATATTTCTGTCTAATGCGCCACTTAAAACCCTACAACTTTTGTATGGAATATTTCTTTCAGAAATGCTTAGTTTCCGAAATATTAAGCCGTTTCCACACTTTTGGCATACCCTGTATGTTATAACATAGAGTACAATATAGTTATAACATTAAATACTTTTCGAGTTATAAGGCTTGAAAGTACAGTAGAGTGAAAGAAAAAGAAGCGCATCGCGCGTGTTGCCTCATTCTTTTTGTCTCTCACTTTACTGTAACTTTCAACTCTCATAACTCGAAAAGTACTTAACGAAAAAACACTTTATTATAGCGTTTTGAAAAGTTTTCGAAGTAAGCTACAAAAATATGCAATAAAAAATGGGGGTTTTTATTTAAGAAATTCGAAAGTGATTTTTATGTGATCTTTAAACGACTATCCAAGGTCAAAACAATGACACTTATGTTCTCCTTGAAGTAATAAAACTTTCGTATGAAACATTTTTCTCTAAAATGCTTTGTTTCTGAGATATAAAGGACCTTACACAAATCTTATCAAAAGTGGCCCCTGGTGAAATTCGCTGAAATTGCAGTATGTTATAGTCCTTGATGTCCTGATTAAAAGTCTCAATGGACACAAAGCTTGAAAATCAAGTTTTTTGTTTAGAGATGTTTGAAGTTCTAAACTTTTGCTATGCCGTGATGACAATGCTGTGATACAATGCTGGACTCTGTGTGTGTGTGTGTGTGGTGGGGGGGTGGGGGGGGAGGTATGGGTGTGTATGAGTGGGTGTATTCGCACGCACATACCCATTCACACATACTTACTCACACATAGTCTGGTATTATATCACGGCTATGTCATCATAGTACAGCAAAAGTTTAGGACTTCAAACATCTCTAGATGAAAAACTATTGATTTTTAAGTTTCGTGCCCATTGAGACTTTTGATCAGGACACCAAGGACTATAACATACTGCAATTTCAGCAAATTTCACCGGGGGCTACTTTCCATAAGATTTGTGCGTGGTCCTTCGTAACACTTTACTGACTCACCCTGTATATATAAATGGACTACCCTGTATATATTGTTACACTCACGAATGCACTCGGGTAAGAAATAATTACACAAATCTTAAAGCAAAGAACTTTAATTAACTAAATGAGAACACAACTAGCACAACATAATACAGAACTTTCGTAAACAATACAAAGAATCGCTTCTCACCCGAAACGTCCTCACGGTACCGAGGACCAAGCGTAACTTGACATCTCACACTTTTATTGACAAGTTTCTAAGCGACGCTTCTTAATGCTAGTTTATTTACAAATTACTAAGCGACGCTTCTCAACATTAGTTTATTTACAAATTACTAAGCGACGCTTCTCAATGCTAACTCGCGGCTCACACGTTGCAGCTTCCGAACGACGATATCCCGCAGCGCGAGCGCAACAATATACAGGGTGTCCCATTTTAAAAACCCCACGTGAATAACTTTTCAGAGAGACATTTTTAAGAAAAATGATTTAGACCAAAGTTGTTGGGTTTGGAGGGGGACATCCGATGATGATATTAGTTTAACCTAGGGTGTACATGTCAAGGTCATATGGAGGTCAACTTTGTTTTTTTAAATAGAACACCCTATTTTTGATTTCAAAATCTAATAGCTAGTGTCAAGAGATTTTCAAAACACTATAATAAAGTTATTTTTTATTAAGTACTTTTCGAGTTATGAGGCTTGAAAGTTACAGCATTTTGACATAAAATACAAAATATCTTGTAAAACATTCAATTTTTGGGAATCTTACCTTAATACTTTTATGCACAAAATAATGAGACGAATCAATTGGTATAAAGAAAACACATTGGTTTCAAAAAAAGTATGCAGTTGCATGTTGCAAATTACATATTTTTTCTTGAAAGCAACTATGTGTTTTCTTTATACCAATTGATTCGTCTCATTATTTTGTGCATAAAAGTATTAAGGTAAGATTCCCGAAAATTGAATGTTTTACAAGATATTTTGTATTTTATGTCAAAATGCTGTAACTTTCAAGCCTCATAACTCGAAAAGTACTTAATAAAAAATAACTTTATTACAGTGTTTTGAAAAGCTCTTGACACCAGCTATTAGATTTTGGAATCAAAAATAGGGTATTCTATTTAAAAAAACAAAGTTGACCTCCATATGACCTTGGCATGTACACCCTAGGTTAAACCAATGTCATCATTGGATGTCCCCCTCCAAACCCAACAACTTTGGTCTAAATCATTTTTCTTGAAAATGTCTGAAAAGTTATTCACGTGGGGTTTTTAAAATAGGACGCCCTATATACAGGGTAACAAAAAAGTCTGGACCGGTGAAATATCTCGAAAACAAGACATTTGAGAAAAAAATGTTTTGTACAAAAGTTATAGGGTTTCAACTTCAACAAATGCATCAAACAGCGGTATTCATTTGACTTGGAACTCAAGTACGGAGAAGCTCTTAATGTCAACTTTAAAATTTTAAACCCCTATTTTTTATTTAATATTCTTGTAGCTGACATCAAGATTTTTTCAAAACACTACAATATAACTCCCTCTTAGTTAAATACTTTTCGAGATATGAGTATGACTTTATTATAGTGTTTTGTCTTGAAAAGATCTTGAAGTCAGTTATATAAGTATGAAATAAAAAATGGGGGTTTTAATTTATAAAATTTTAAGTGACTTGGATTTGACCTTAAGGGCATTTTCTAAGGTCAACCAAGATTGTAATTTTTTTTTCCTTTAGTAATTGAGCAACTTTCGTCTAAATAATTTTTGTCTTAAACTTAAGGATTTTGAGATATTCTTGTGAATTGATTAAAATAGACCACCCTATACATAAAATGTCCCAGAACTGGTGATACAAGCGAAGAAAGGATAATTTTACATGAAAAAATTTGTCGAAAATGTAGACTAACATTTTTTTATACAAGTTTTCTAGGAAGACAATTTGAATTTTATATTTGTCAAGAGTGCGCCTAACACGCATTTGTGTTTATAAACATTACCCATAACAAAAGGATACCTTAGAGATGCATAATAAGGCAAAATGTGTTTTTTTTTTTTTAAACTTTTTAAAAACTTCATTTTTTTAACTTAAAAATAGTTGCTGCGGAAACGTTACGCATCTAGCGCACGAATCATATGTCTGTATATTCCCGATTGTTATACGTAGCTATATCGGTAAAATGGTAGAAACTGTGTTATTGTTGACAAAGATAAGACCAGAATTGATAAATCTTAAAAAAATCTCAAAAGAAATCTTACTGTTGGCAATGTTTGTAAACACAAATGCATACAGAGATAATATATAGTAGATCATTGAGATCAGACATAGTCAAGTGTACGTATATATGACGAATATTCAAAGTTGCTTTTATGGGAAACTAAAAAATTTTATTGCATATTTTGAACTTATTTTTTTATGTACAATTGCGTCTTTCCTGCTTGTATCACCAGTTTTAGGACACCATATATATGCTTTTACAATTTAAATATTATAGATATTGCACTGTAGAAAACAATACTGATTATTATCAATATTTGACACAGGAAATTGGCTGGCCGCACTATTTTTATTACAGGAGCTTCAAGAGGTATCGGCAAAAGTATCGCGCTAAAAGCGGCAAAAGATGGTGCGAATATCGTTATTGCTGCAAAAACTGCACAAGCACATCCCAAGTTACCTGGTACTATTTATACAGCAGCTAATGAAAGTAATTATTAATTATATTTTTAATAACTTTGAAATTCACGATATCAGTTGAATAAATTTTTGACAAAATATTTTTAAAAGGTACATGTTTTAAATTTTAATAAAAATCAATCAATATTTGTGCCAAACATTAGACTAAATTTAAGATAAATCCGTGAGTGCTGAACAAAATTACTTAAATCTAAATATACATAACAATTATTGCTTTCATATATTTTTTAAATAATGTTAATGAGAAATATTTTTATGTGTATGTAATAAGTAGTAGTAGTAGTATTTTTTTGTTTTCCTCTTGGGGTTAAGTTTATTGTTTTCCTCATACATTTTACTTATAAGTAACTTACGGCTATCCTTAAAATTATCCTTAAAACTAGACCTATTCCTACTTAAATCTATCCTTATACTAGCTTATATCTACGCTTAGCCTAAATTGCCCTAACTGAAGGATTCGGGTCCAGGCGACCTGCCGTCCAACAGGCTATCATCCGGCCTGTGCCCTTTTCCTTCTCCCTCTAACCCATACACACACACACGCTTTCACAAAGGTGATATCCGTTTCCTCGCGCCTTCAGTAATTCAATCTCTCATTTTTACTCCCATTCCCTCCGTGACACACACACACACACACACACACGCGCGCGCGCACTTTCTCTCTCTCTCTCCCCCTCTCTCCCTCTTCCTCCCTCCTTCCCTCTTTCTCTCTCTTGCCTTTCCTCTTCTATGTCTCTTATCCACCATTTCTCCTCCCCCTCTTCCCCCAAAATCTTTTCCACTTGTTCTTACCAACTCCCTCCTCTTTCCGCCCATTCCCTACAACTCTCCCACGTATGCTCTTATGTCTTCCTCCATTCCGTATGTTTGTGATTTCGTTTGATTACTCTAATTGATGATGTAGAAAGAACTCATGGTTTTCAATTGCACACTTTATTTCTTTTACATACACACTAATGATAATAAAAAAAAGAAGTCTTCGCACGTTTTTTCGCGCCATCTATCTCTGACTCTCAGCGCCTTCCAAACTAAAATATTACACGTAGCGACATCCTGCCCGCCTTGAAAGGCTTAACTTTCAACATCATTATTACATATAAATCTTATAAACAAAACTAATGATAAGAGATAAAAGAACGTAATAAAATACATACATTTAACTTAACTTCTAATCCTGCTCTTCTACAGGTAACAAGCAAATTTTCTGAATAGCTCGTTGTGTTAATCCTAATGAGGTTTTTACTTCTACCGTTCTAATCAACTCGTCGGCTCCCTTAAAAAGCTGCGAGATTCTACCTAATCTCCATTGCATGGGAGGAGCGTTATCATCTCGTAACAATACGAGAGCGCCTATTTTAAGTTGAGAATTTGCTCGTGTTTCCTTCCACTTCTGTCTTGGTTGAAGCTGTGTAACATACTCTCGGGACCAGCGTTTCCAGAACCCTTGAACCAAGCTAGACAGCAATTGATATCGAGATAGTCGATTTAATGGAATCTCTTCCAAATTTGGCTCAGGTAACGCTGTTAATGGGGCTCCTATCAAAAAATGCCCTGGCGTTAAAGCGGTTAAATCGGCGAGATCCGTTGATACCGGAATAAATGGCCTCGAATTTAATATGGCCTCGATCTGCGCAAATACCGTAGTTAACTCTTCAAAGTTTAAACTCGTTTGATTCAGGACTGCCTATAAGTGAGATTTTGCTGCCTTTACAGTAGCTTCCCACAACTCCCCGACGTGTGGAGAATATGGTGGGATAAATGTCCATTTAATCCATTGTTCCGCGGTGAATTCCAGTACCTTATTTTTTACTTGTTTACTTTGTAGAAACTTAGCTAAATCATCTAGTTCGTTTTTTGCTCCTACAAAGTTTTTACCGTTATCCGAGAAGATATGACAGCTTTTGCCGCGTCGAGCTATAAAACGTTTCAAAGTATTGAGAAAAGCAACGGTTGTCAAGTCTGAGACTACTTCAAGGTGTACGGCTTTAGTAGCCATACAAACGAATACGGCTAGATAAGCTTTCCCACTTTTATTTCGCGAAATTTTTATAGAAAAAGGTCCGGCATAATCAATCCCAGTTTGCTCGAATGGACGTCCCGGATTTATCCTTGCTTTAGGTAAGCTACCCATAAGCTGCTTTAAATTTGACGGGTTTTTGCGGAAACATAATACGCACTTAAGCAGTACACGACGAATTTCGCTTCTCGCGGACACAATCCAATAGTTTTCGCGAATTATTGCGCCTAACGTATTGGCGCCGACGTGTAAATGTTTATAATGCATCTCTTTAATGAGTAGTGTAGAAAAAGGATGCCTAGAGGGCAAAATTATAGGAAATCGCTGATCGTATGTAAGCGTTGCATTTCTCAAACGTCCTCCAACTCGTAGCAATCCTTTCTCATCTAGAAAGGGATTTAACGGTAGAATTTTGCTATTGCGTGAAACACCCTTTGCCTTTTTTCTTAAATCTTCGATTTCTTCAGCAAATGCTTGACCTTGTGCTAACTTAACTAACGCGGTATTAACTCTTCTTAATTCGTCTGCGTTCAAAGGTTCGGTATTTCGCTGTGATGAGTTCTTCTGGCAGTTTTCCATGAATCTGTAGCAATAGGCTACTACCTTCCTTAGCTTTGTCAACGATGAGAATTTTTCTAGAAGTTTGTTGTCTTCTACTAGAACCTTTCCACTGGTTTTTTCTTCTAAATCTTTAGGCAGTTTTTGTAGGAATTCACTTGGCCATTGATCTGGAGTTTCTTTCAACCAGAGAGGTCCTGACCACCACATCTCTAATTTAGGTAATTCACGAGGGTCTATACCTCTTGAGAGAACATCGGCTGGATTAGAGGTTGTTCTTACGTGGCGCCATTCATCCTGTCGAGTTAAACCTTGTATCTCTGATACGCGATTAGCTATGAAGGTCTTGTATCTCGTCGGATCGCCCCGAATCTAGTGAAGGACGATACTCGAATCCGTCCAGTGGATATACTTATGAATTGGGAGCTTTATTACTTTTCTTATTTTAAAAGCGAGTTTCGCTAGCAACACCGCGCTACACAATTCCAGTCGAGGGATCGAAATAACCTTCAACGGTGCTATACGTGATTTTGAGACCAATAATCTTGCTGTGCGGTTTTTCTTGGCATCGATTGAGCACAAATATAAGCATGCTCCAAAGGCTGACTGCGAAGCGTCGCAAAACCCGTGCATTTCAATTTGTAGAGCGTCTCTCGTTATTACTTGCCTAGGTATACATATTTCTTCCATCGCTTCCAGTCTCTCCTTGTAAGAGTTCCACTCTAGCTCTAGATCTACAGGTATTTTGTCATCCCACTTCATGCTTAATTTCCATAAAGTTCTCATGAATAATTTAGCCCTTACTATTACTGGTCTTATGAGGCCTAAGGGATCATAGATTTGTGCGATGACTGATAGAATAATGCGTTTAGATTTTCCAGCTTCGGTAGGCATTTTCACCTTAAATTTAAAGATGTCTTTGTTTGGATTCCATCGAATCCCTAGCGTTTTTATTTCTTCATGTGACGTGAGAGGAATTTCGATTTTTGCATCTGTTAACAACTCTTGTACATTAGAATTCCATTTCCGCAGCTCCATTCCGGCGGTTGCTAAAATCTGACTTATTTCGTGCTTAAGTTGTTGCAACTGCGATATTGAGTAACTACCAGTCAGTAAATCATCCATATAGAAGTCGTTACTAATCGCGGTTGCTGCTGGCGGTTGTATCTCAGCATAATCCAGCGCTAATTGTTTAAGACATCTTTGCGCTAGGTATGGTGCAGAGGCCATACCGTACGTCACTGTTGTTAACTCATATTTGCGTATTGGATTCTCCGTGCTCTCTCTCCATAGAATTCTTTGCAATGCTCTATCCTTTTTGGTTATTTTAATCTGCCTGAACATTTTACTTATATCTGCTGTTAGTACATAATTATACTGGCGAAATCGTAGCAATATCTCCATAAGCTCCTGCTGTATTTTGGGTCCTACCATTAGTAGATCATTCAGTGAGTGTCCCGATGAGGTTGGACACGATGCGTCGAACACTACTCTCAGTTTTGTAGTAGAGCTTTCTTCGCGTATAACTCCATGATGCGGTAAGTAGTTTATCACTCCTGTTTCTTCTATGTCTTCGGTGACTAACTCCATATGATTCATACTTTCATACTTCTTGAGGAAGTCCAAATATCTTATCTAGAATACCGAATTGTTGGCGAATCGACGCTCTATGGATTTTAGCCTCTTTATTGCATTGTCCTCGGATTTACCTTGATTTAGTATTTGGCCTTTAAGCGGCAAGGATACTACAAATCTCCCGTCCTTATCTCGATAAGTATTCGTCTCAAAATGCCTTTCACAATCATCTTCTTCGGGGGTCAGCTTCCTCTCCAATTCACAATTTTCTAT